AGCCGGTCTGATGTGCCACACCGACGCTCACTTAGTGCAACTTGCTGGGAGACGTTCATCAGTGCCTGAGCTCCTACTGCCAGCTGCTGGTGGAAGAGGGTACTGCACCAGCAAGCGTGTGCAAGCTGTGGTTGATGATTGATTGATTTTATGTGCCCAACCCTTATGGGCTTATAAGACACCAAAAAATACAGTTGCAGTGATCAAACATTTGATTCTATTACAAAATTACAAATGATTTTGTTTGTTTTGATTATTATACGTCTCGTTCTTAAAATATTCTGCCTTCTCTCCTAAGCTTAGCACAAAAGGTTTGCTACGAGAAAGGCTCCCTTATTGAAGCACAACTCAAGTTTTTCATAATCATCAAGCTCTAGACTTTTCAAAAATGGCCCAGACGCCTTTGTTTATGTCTTCATAACATAAAAACACAATAATCTTGATTCCCAGGCTCCTTATTCTTATATAGCCTCTTTGATGCAGAAGACATCAACTTCATTTACCTACCTAAGGCTCATTTCAGTGCTAGAGATGCTGACTGACGGTACTTGTTCATCATATACATTTAAGTTGTTTGTTTGCAACAGGCCTGTTTTCTTACTGAAAAATGATGTTGACTGCCTCTTTTATGGTCTAAACCACTGGTTCCCAAACTATGGTATGTGTAGCACTGGTGATACATGAGCTACACGCAGGAATCTCTGAAATATTTTTTAAAAATGAAATGTTTATCAAGAAACATATATTACTATCGAAATACTACACAATTTGAAATACAAGTACTTAATTTATGAGATTTCTAAAATGTAATTTAAAATAAGTTTAGCATTTTCTGTAATATTTTGTTTCAATATCGGCTTGCTACAAAGTCACGTTCATACACATAGCACAATCATATATCCATGATTATTAATGAGCTAAAATGTGATGGTAAGATAGTCGATGGAGGTAAAATGAATGGTTCAAAAACTCTGAAATCATGGTTCCAAACAGGAACTACTGGGAATATAAGTGTGGACCAGGAATACTCCTTTTACACCAAATGAGCTCTGGTTGTTCAACCGGCTCTGCTCAGTCAGCAATAAATAATCTTCTTTATTAGGACTAAACCAGCCTCCTGCATGAAGCGTCCGTAGCTGAATAGGGTCGGCCTGCGCTGTAAATTTTAACATCGTCATAATGGTGGTACATGGAGAACGCAATATTTGCTAATATGGTAAGTTGTTTGAGAAACACTGTTCTAAACAAAGTCATCTAAATCCAATGATGCATCCATCTGATCACCCTATTCAATAATACCTTCAGAGGCCTATTACACAATCAAACAGCCCAGTTGAACTGTATGATAAAAAGGTAGGAGGAGTTTGAGTTTGGCTTAATTTTCAATTGAGTAGATAGGCAGGATAGAGAGAGACAGAGAGAAAGGCAGAGGGCCCGAAGACAAAAGGATGAACTAAGTGGAACAAACCTGCCAAATTTTTCTGTGTACCCCGTCTTGCCCTGCTGTATGACGTGGATGAAGTCGTGTGTGAGGATGAATGGTACACGCTCCCTCTTGATGCCAAACTTGGACTTGAAGTTGCCCAGGATGTGGCCAAAGTCTATGTGGAAGAGCTGATGGACAAGAAGGCCAATCAGTGAGCACCGTGGAACCAGGAAGAAACCAAACGCAGTGAGTAGATAATGTATACAGATTAAACAAACAAAAGTGTGTCCAACCTGTCCCGTGCTGCGGACCATGATGTTGTCGCTGTGGCGGTCTCCGATGCCCAGGACGTAGGTGGCTACACAGTAGCCTGCACATGACAGAGTGAACTCCTCGATAGCCCGCTCAAGAGCATCACTGTCAATAAAAAATATACACAGGACACATTCTGAATAAGCCTTAGTGGTCACTGCCACCTGTAACACATCCTGCAGTCCAGAGCTGCTCAGTTAATGAAGGGTTGGTTTACTCAGCAGGCAGCGTCTTACCCAGTGTTTCTCTCTTTGAGCCAGTTGAGCAAAGCATCCTTGTTGAAGGCGGCAGCTGCTGCCACGTTGCTGCTGGTCAGCTGGATGTTTGCAATCGTGTCTGCTGATGAGACTACCTCAATCAGCCCTGCCCGGTCACCTGTTGCTAGGCAACCATACGGTACGATTCTGCATGGTATGAAGATAAAGAAAAGAAAGAAAGAAAGAAAGAAAGAAAGAAATTATTGATGACATCAATTGGAACATTGTGCACATATCCACCCTGGGGCATCTGGTGGGTAGATCTAAAAGATTCCCAAAAGGAACCCCTACTGATACATGCAGAACACATAATCATTTAATCACGTCTTTTTCACATTCATACTTATTGCCACAATTTCTACTACAAACATACAAATATATATATTTCACAGTAATTAAGCCTGGAAAATACCAATTACAACCACTAGCTTTTGGGTTTTTTTCTTACACATTTCTGATTGTGTTTATACTTGAAATACTACGGCAAAAAATATCAAATGTAGTAGTGATAGTCATATTTTTTTCTACATACATATGAACACTGTCCTCAAAAACATGACCAAACAAGATCCAAAAATCTGTGCCACATGAATCAGAAATCTGATTTGGGTCATCCGACTGGCAGTGTAAATGTAGCTTTGTGTGTGTTGCTGTAGATCTAGCTCCAGTGTTGCGTATTTATGAGATTAAGATATTAGGCAGTGGTTTATTTGAAAATCTCAATCGTATAGCACTCCCCTGGGTGCAATTCACCCTGTGTGACGGTGTACAATCTCATACTGTTTACACTGAGTTGAGACAGGACAGATGGGAACATACGGTGAAGAACATATGGTGATTACGTGATGGCACGTAGACCAGCGAGCTGATGGTTCATTTTCTTCTTAACTCACTTTAACTTTTTCTTTCTTTCCACAAGATGGCAGCAGGCCTTCATTTTGCAGGATGCAGAATTACGTGACCTGACAAATCTTCCTAAGAATACTGACATAGTCCCCCGAAGGTATTACATATCAAACAGCTGAGACCCAGTGCTCAAAGCAGACTAAATTCATAGATTTAATTTGCAGTTTGACAGAGTTTAATGGAGACCAAATGCCTTCAAGGCATTTCTTATGCAACTTGATGGGTGTTGAGTTTAAATAAATGAGAAAAACTACTTCAGACGGCCAACAATTAAGGATACGTGCAGTAAAATACATCAGCAAGAAATCACAGAACAAAGTCGCATCCACCACATCATAGTGGTTTCATTACACTGTCCCTCCCTTCATCCACAATGTCCCATCACTGTGTTTGAACTCTGAACCCGTGTCCCTGTAATCTGAAGCACCGTCCTCAAGCTCAACTGTCAAAACAACCCCCCTCCACTGCTCAGCTCCAGATGTGTCAGTGTATGAGGAAGGGAGAAAAGGGGTTTGTAAAAGTGCAAAAGTGTGGATTTGATTAGGATGTAATGCAGATATTGTATGTGTGAGTATGTGAGTGTGTCTCTGTGTGTGTGTGTGTGTGGGTGTGAGTGAGTGACTTTCTGTGTGTGTGTGGGGATGTCTATGGTGTAAAAGGGTTGGAGGTCAAATTAGCATGGGGTAACTTAGTGTCTCCCCTCCTCTGCTGCACTCCACCAGAGCTTCCACTTCTCCACAGAGAGCAGGAACAAACAAGTTCGACAAAGTCACACACACACACAGACAAAAAAGACTCACCTGAGGTCCAGATTTGCCTCCTTCCATAGCAGATCCATTAACCTCAAAATCTGGAGGGTCAACATGTCTTGCCTCAGGTCTAGAAAAAGTAAGTAAGTTTTCTTAATTTTAAAATAAAATATTGTGCTTTTAAAAGCAAAAGCATCATCATGACCTTGCAGTATCTCTACCCCCCCCTTGATTCCGCCTACCATCGCCGTTCTTGAAGATGATTCCCAGGGTGTCTCCCCCCATCAGCTTGTTGTTGTAAACAATCCAGAGTGGCTTCATCTTTGAGTCCATGTACCGACACTTCTCCACGCTGATAGAGAGAGAGAGGAAATGAGCTGAGAAAGTTCAACTTGATCTAAAACTTTGGACCTGTGATCAGAGTGGTGTTGTCTTACTTGATGCCAGACAGCAGGACATTGGGGTTTAGAGGGGAGTGCAGGTCTGACAGAGTCTCTGAGTAGCCGCTTTGCCTTAGACAAGTCATCATGGCCTCCTTTGTCAACATTGCCTCCTTGGCCTTACGAGCGTTCTTGATGGTTCCCAGTTTAATTAGCTCGTTCACCGACTTTAGCTTACTCAGGGCTTCAACCTGGTACAGTAACAACACAGAACAATATGTCAGAATTTGTTTAACTGAAACCAGCCAACAATCCCTATGGATGAGACAAGTGAACTCATTCTCCATAAACAGACTATTGTCAGCATTGTAATCCCAAGCCAGTGTGTGTGCTCTTCCAGACAGGAATGTGGCCAGATATATGACGGTATGATATATGTGCGGATGAGGAAGTAGAAGGAAGCGTCCACAGGAGTGACTGTCAGAATCAACACTATAGAGGGCAAAGGTCATAGGGCAGGAGGGTGACACAGCTGTCAGTGTGATGGGCTAAAAATATCCTAAATCTAGTCCTGCTAGGATCAACAATAGAGTATGGACTGGTAGGGTAAAAGTCTGAGGCATAGTTATGGAATTGAGGAATGGGACATAATACAGAGCAAAAAAATTAAATGGAAACAACGTGTTTGTATGAGTCAAGTAATAAAATGTATTGTGTGTGTGTCTCCTACCTGTTTCTTTAGGACCTCAATATGAGGGATGCTGCCTCTACAGTAGGCTTCCAGGATGAGGGCAAACTGGACTGAAACAGCTGGCATGTGGATCTCTGACCTGTAGAAGGCAGCACAACAGCCACAATCAGAAAAAACTCAAATCCTTTCACAAACATTTAATCTATGTCTATTTCTTTCTAATCTGCAACACACATGCACACAGACATGTGTGTCTGTACACACCGTAGGTGCCAGAAGAGGAAGTGTCCTATCTTGCGGTTTCTCTGGGCACGCTCCAGCAGGAAGTGGGTGAGGGCACAATCATAGTAGGGCTCATAACGCAACACCTGCACCAACTGTAACAAGTACTGCGACAGCTCCTCATTACTGGTGAGGGGAGATAGGAGAAAGGAAGAGGGAGAGTAGCGTAAAAAAAGAGGTTGTCTGATTTCCTTTCTTTTATCTTTAAACTTTTAGTTGGATTTGAAATGAGTACGTGCCTTCAGGAAAAAGACATCACACAACACTATCATCTGACAATAACTCATGCATTTAGTCATTTATAATCAAACAGCAAGGAGCACAGAGAATGTAACAGTGTGCTGGATTACATATGGTATATATGTAGGAGCTTCAATATGAGACAAAGAAATAAAAAGAAGGCCACTGTGTTGTATAAAAATGTATGTGTGGGTGGATGCATATGTTAACCTCATATCACGCAGACATCTCACAGCATATTCCCTGACATACTGGTCAGGGTAGTTGAAGTCCAGAAGCTCCAGAGCATCTCTGGGACTCAGTTTGGGCCAGATCTGAAGCAGTGCCTGGAGCTGAGAGACACACACAAATACTCAGACACTGTTTAATCAGAGTTACATACATACAGTATACTGTTCAATACATTACAATACAATACAATGTTTAATATGTTTTATTCCAAGGCAGATTCAGTCAAATCTGATAGTGGGGGTAGTTTTCTGTCAATTTAAATTTGATGTATAACCATCATGTTAATATTGGCCAAAAGTGCAGCCCCAACCAATACAAAAAATAATAATCTTAACAGCTAAAACTGGTATATATTGAGATAATATATTATATATAACATATATGTATATAATAAGTACTCTAGTAATAGTATTTAAAAGTTTAAAAAAATATTTTCAGTCCTGAATTAAACAGGATTTTGTTTTTGTCTTTTAAAGCAAAAAGTAAATTATAAGTGTATACTGAAAATAACTGCATAAACAGCAGGTACGCTGGCTAACCTGGGCCATGTCCTCATGTTTGCTCCACTTGACGGAGAGTAGCAGCTTGGGCAGCGACTGAGGGAAATTCTCTCTACAGTCGTGGCGTAGCGTCCAGATTAAATCCTTCTCGTTTTCACACAGCTGAGAGAGCGCATCACGCTCCATGATCTCCTTCAGCTCTATGTGGAACTTCTTACCCCCACGACTCTGAGAGAAATGATGAGGAGGGAAGAATGGTCGGTTGGGTTGGGGAGTTCGAGAAGGAGAAGATTAAGAAGATGTAGAGGACAGAGAGGGTAAGGGGGTGAAGGAGTGTTAATGAAGGAAAATTGGAAGTGGAGCCAGGATGTGAAAGGACATGAGAGGATGATGATGACTATCAGCAGTGACTGTAAAGACCCACAAGATGGCAGGCGTGTATCAAAGTATATGCAATTTCTCATCAAACTGCCTTCTCATCACAATTCACAAATCAAGGACTAACACTGAATTGTCTCTGTTTAAAACAAGTTGTATGCTGCCTGATTCATAAAAGGGACACGCATGCTTTAAACAGCCAATAATGCCAGCTGAGTAATGCTATGCTAAAATAAAATGGATGACAGGTCTAACTTTGATTATATTGGCAGATTAACCACTTGGATCTGTAAACAGATTCACAAATTGACATACAGTAAAAAAATAAACAATACATATTAGGTGCTGATCCATAGATTCACACACAGCCCTCACATTAAAGGGGGGCCTTCAGGCATGCCCTCTACATAACACAGTGTTATGTAACTGGCTACAACACGCCCAGGAGTGGGGTTTTAGTTGAGGGGCGGTGAGACAGGAAAACATACAAGTAATCTGATTAGAGTCTCTAGTTTTGAAGGGGACTGAAATATTTTTGCTGCTACACCCTGCCAAAGTGATAACAATGTGTTTCCAAGGAAACTAGCAGTGCGTGCGTGTCTGTTAAAAGTGTGTGTGAGAGGGAGAGATAGAGAGAAAATGAGGCAGCATGCCTATTTGTTACAAGGCAATCTGACACAAACATCTGAAATTATTTGTGTGCCCTTACATGTATTCTGAATGCATACAAATATTTAGGCCTGTTAACACAATCACCTTCCACTGTACATCCACTCACCATGGGTGCACAGTCATTTGCTCTGGCGATCTCTGCAGCTTTTTCCAGTATCTGCAAAAAAGTGAGCAAGTAAGCACCGTATGAGTGAACACACACACTGACACAGCGCATTAGGCAGGCTGAGCACGTCCTGATCCTCTCATGCTAACAGCCACCACTTCATCATAATCACTGGGTACCATTATAAGGAGCACTAAGCCAATGGGATGACAAATTCAACTGCAGTCGAGTCCTTAAAAAAAGGCCACAGAGGTCTCATCCAGTCATCTAAGTTCAGACATAGGGTGAGTATGGTACACGGAGTACGATGACAGACAGCTGTCTGACCTTGTCGAAGGGAGGGAAGATGATGGGGTGTGACGAGTACTCTGGGAAGTGGATGTGCAGTGCTGTAGCGTTCTCAGTGTACGGGTTGGTCTGAATGGTTCCTATGGGGTTCAGCATCTCTTCAAGTTCATCTGGGTAAGACACATGAAATGACATGCATTTACTGCATCACTGGAGAAGGCTGGTTTAACTGCATTAGTAGATATGAAGTAAGCACGAGTGTGTGTATGTGTTTTTACCAGGAAAGGAAGACCAGCAGTGCAGGATGATGTCTCCTGTCTTCAGCTGGCCTTTATAGTCAAACACCATGGTGTTGACCCAGGCTATGGGGTAGTGCTGAATCACAGAGAGAGAGTAAAAAGTAGTGAAAGTTAAGGACAATCTTAGGATGGTGTAGCAGATGTGTGGAAAGACAGCGTAGGTCCATGTACAAGGATGTTTCATACCACTTTCCCTGCTTTGCGGATGGTCTGGTACTTGTTTATGTGAGCATTTTTGGTAGACTTCTGCTTCTTGACCTTATCCATAACGGCATAGATAGCAAAGCAGAGGCGGGTCATGCGGGGAAGGTCAGAGACAGAGATGTCAAACTCCAGCGTGCTGTCTTTCCACGTGTGGTCTGAGCGTCCACTGCTCTCACTGCTCACAGCCGGCTTGCACAGCAGCTCTGTGCCGTGGAACAGCCCCGCCCTCACCTGGACCTGGGTGGAATGGAGGGAGGAGTTGGCATGAAGAGGGGAAGTGAGGAGATAGTATCTTATATTTAATTTTGTTAATTTTGCTATTTGTTTTTAAGCTAGCCTGCTTCAGCTTTTCCAGCCAGAAACATTTCATAAGAAATAAGTTTGTAATATAAGGCATAATTAAAGGTTAAAGGTCCAGTGTGTAACATTTAGGAGGATCTATTGGCAGAAATGGAATTACATATTCATAGGTACGTGTTTCAGTAGTGTATAATCTTTCCTGAAAATGAACTGTTGCCTTGTCTCTCTGTCTTTCACCCCTCAGAACATCGGGAACGTTTTTATCTACAGACGGCTGTGCGAGCAGGTCGCCATGTTGAACTGCTATGTTTCTACAGTAGCCCAGAAGAGACAAACCAAACTACACCGCTAGACGCCACTAAATTCTACACACTGGTCCTTTAAGCCTGATGGGCTTCTATATTTTTCATATTTCCAACAAATGTCATGACAATAACAAAGCCAACAGTGCATTAGCCCGTCTCTCTGTGTCTGTGGCTCCAAACACATTAATTCCAACTGAAGAAGTAAATCGGGTCACACATATAAAGTTTTAATTTTAAAACTGTAGTTTTTAGAAACCATTAGTGAAACAGGAGTAAATAGTGCCTTTGTTGGCGACTATTAATCCACATTTGGTGCTCTGTGTGTGTGTTTTTTTCAGGGCAAGTGACGGAACATGTCACAGCCAGTGCAACAGTGTGGCTCCAGTCTGATGTGTTTTTAATAGTTTTTGGACAACAATGGAGCTCTATGGCACAGAGGAATGAGATATATCAGGCTTTGGCAACACAGACAATATTTGTTAGTAAGATAGATTCATTAATGAGTTTGGTGTTTTCATGGCACTTATCCTTTGACTTTAACTTTGTTCGTGCTCAGCCTTGTGAAAACAAAAGGAGTTCATGCAGATTAACAAGCTATTCAGAAGTATTTACTGTGGCTTCATATTCAAGCCGAAACTATTATTAAAAACCTTTCATGACATCTTTGCATTACCCAACTGACTGACGTCAGTGTGTTATTACTGTAAAAGTAAAACAGTGTGGGAGATGTGGCACAACTGTGTGTGTGTGTGTGTGTGTGTGTGTGTGTGCAGTGACATATTAACAGGAACATACATTAATGTTTTATGGATGTGGACAAAACAAGCGTTACCTTGGCAGTCTCCTCCGCATTCACCTTGCTGCCGTTCACCAGGACTATCTTAAACGGGCTAGACACACCCCACACACATGTCTGTACTTGCTGCAGAGGGAAAGTGAGAGGAGAAAGAGAGACTTGCAATGAGTGAGCAGTATTAGCATAATGTACAGTAAAAATAACTATCCCCCCTACTCAGCTTCTTCACACCCAACAGTTCCCTCCATACACACAAACACACATATACACGTTAAAAAACACAAACAATGTGGGAGGTCAGGCAGGTCATTCTGATAGCCAAGTGGATTTGCAAGGGTCAGCAGTCAGCAGGAAAAACAGCATCACATGACACCTAGAGTCTATGAACATGACTAACTAGCACACTTCCTGCTGTTTGCGGCCTCTGTCTTTGTGTGTCGATGTGTGTGCGTGTTGATGTCTTTAAATGTTTGTGCGAGTGTGATGGTGTGTGTAATTTGCTTCTTGTCAGATAAGAGACTATATTTGTGTCTGCCTCTACTGTTAAAGACAGAAACAGGACCTCCATGTACTGTAGGATCACAGAAACGCCCAGTCCCTCTGCTGTCCTCGCTGGCTTTGTTTTGACCAATTATCAGTCATATTTCCTACCACACAGACAGCAGAGCATCCAATAACAGGTTCCTTTCCTGAAAATTAATCTCACTTCCTGTCTCAGAACAACACTGCTACAGTAAACTTACAGTCTTGCAAGAAATCTGCTTCTGTCTTGGCCAACCTCCCTCCATTGCATTACAGTAACATAACAGTGTATAACAATACAAGAGCATTTCTAAATACACGATCAGATTCAATACAAACAGCAAAATAATCAACAAATCACAAAATATACTTTAAAAACAACAGGCTTTGTGGCCCTGGTCTCCACAAGCAGTTCATATTGTGGTCTGGGAATCACAGCAGCAGATGCTCTTTCATCTTTGTGTCTAAACATAGATCCTGGAACAAAATCATCAGAGGATATCAGAAACAGAGGGCAATAGAAAGTTGGAGATGTAATGCAGAGCAAGGCCCATCCTGGCTTTAAATGTGATCACTCTAATGTTCTGATGAATTACATTACTAATAAATGTTTCCAGTTAATGGCTCGGCAAGAGAATTCTGAGGGAGTACGTATATTCATCAGAAGTGGTGGAGCGTTACAGTCAGGTGGTTTCTTAGTATGATGTGGGGGAAAAAAGTGTAGTCTGAAATATTTCTGTGTTAATGAAAACAAGATTAAGCAAGAAGGGTTGCAGAAAAGAAAGTCTCCACCTTTCCTGTCTGTCTCTCTGAGTCATATAAAGGCAAAAATGCCTAAAAACTGAACCTAGAATCACTGAATCAATCTTTCTTAGTCTTCTAGGACAGTAAATTGAATATCTTTTAGTTTTAGAGTATTGGTCAAACAAAAACAGTCACTTTAAAGGTCCAGCGTATAACATTTAGGAGGATCTATTGGCAGAAATGGAATATATATGAGGGTTTTCATTAGTGTAAATACCTAAATATAGGAATCCTTGTGTTTTTGTTACCTTAGAATAAGCTGTTTATATCGACAGACGCCACAGGTCTTCATCTGTGGAGTCCACAATGTTGAACTGCCATGTTTCTACAGTAACCCAAGGGGACAAACTAAATACTGGCTAGATAAGGGCGTTAAATTTTCTTGTGTGTTTCGCTGCCACCTGTTTTTGTAGTTTCTCCTTTGTGCTTGATAGAGGAGGGTGAAGCGACAGAGTTGCGATCTGCAACTACACAGCTAGATGCCGCTTAATTCTACACACTGGACCTTTAACTGGGTACCTTGGACTTGAAATTGTGATGAAAAAGATTAGTCGATAATGAAATAATTATTAGTTTCAGCCCACTTTCAATTATTCTGGGCTTCATGGGGGGTTCTTTATAGACTACCATCTCATCTATAAGCTGCATTAATAAAATTATTCAACATTGGACATTTTCATCTTTGCAGGCCTGAATTCATCATAATACACAATGACAGTAAGCAACATGGGAACAGTAAGTAGAAGTGATGTTGTGATGAGGTTCTGCTGTTATGACTATTTGTCATAAATATAATGTGGTAATATTTTACAAGATGATTTACCCGTTATATTTACAGACTTTCCACACCACATAACAGTGGGAAGCAAGAGTCAGCATGGCGTCAGGCAATTAAAACCCCAGGAGACTCGGTAACAAAGGCCAATTAAATTCAACCTGACATTTAAAATGGTGGATGCACACATCGAGGAGTGGTGTCACTGTGCACCTGGCATCAACAGCAGAGAGGAGCTAGCGATGTTTCCTGACAACGTGGCAGATGCTGGCAGGGGCAGTGCAGGCTTGCTCCGACACACTCAGAACACTGGCTCATAAAAGACAGACGGCAGCTGCTGAGAACATGTTTACTTGGTAAACCTCCACACCTGCCTCGTTCAGTGCAGGTGAATCAATCAAACTGTGGCGCTTCTACTATCGTGGTGAAGCAAGAACACTATTCAGTAACTCTGGCGGATATTAAGTGGTTGTTATCTAGATTACATTAGAACATTTTCATATGTGTATCACACCCTCAGTTTTAGTGCTGGGGATGCCAAATAATCACTGCACACAGAAGTTACACAGTTTAGTGACTGGCAATGAATTCAACCACATTAATGATGAATAGATTTCCAACAAATGAAAATGACAAACTTCACTTTAGCCACTGAAGACAAAAACAATCAGTTACCTTAGTAAGTTCCTCTGAAAACAATATCAGATGTTGGATAGATAAAAGCACCACAACACAGAAGTGAGAAGTACATTCATTCACACACACACACATTACTGGACTAACCGTGGGAGCCCTTCTCTTGGGAGGTAGTGGTAAAGGTGGGTTGGAGGACTTGCGGCCAACCACAGCTCCAATGGCAGAGATTTCCTTGTCAAACATGGCCTTGATGGCGCTGGTGTGGACCAGGGTGAGGTGTGGAGACTCCTTGGCTTGCATGCATGTGCGGATGTACTGCAAGCAAGACAGGACAGGAAATTTGTTTAGCTATGTGCATATTTAAGCCTTCCCTAACATAAAAGAGTGCACACAGACGGGAACCCATCCAATTTCAAATACCTTGGTGTTATAATTGATTTAAATCTTATGTAAAAACAAAAAACAACAGCTACACACTAAGCTTGCTGAACTTGCGATACATACACATATACTGAGGCTGCAAAACCCTGCCTTAATGCTCCGATTCTTCCACACAACAACAGTGTTTGTCTAATTGGGCTCATAACCCACTTGAATCCAGTAGCAAACACACGTTTAGGGTGTTTGAGTTTGGAATATCTCAAATTTCATGATACCTTTCTCATAATAAAGACCTCCAGAACTTAAGGCATTTTCATTTCACAGAAGCGTAACCAGTACCCCGTGCAGGCCATGGGACAAGACTTGATTAACGTATCTCTGTGCCTACGACGGTTACTTTCCTGCATGCTAATGTATGCTTTAGCTGCTTTCAGCCATCCATCAGTACTTCCTGCAGAAAACTCCAATATTGCTGCTTGTTATGCCCAGTGACTTCTTTGTGTGATGCCCTCTTCTAAATTGTTTATAACAGCTCTTTCACTCCATCTGCAACTGAAAACTAGCCAACTAATGTTTACAATTAAGAGCAAAGAGAATGATGGGACTACTGTGTATGCTTTCCTATGTTGTGGCGCTCCATTTACAATACGTTAGAAATGAAGTTTGTGTCTGTGTCCGGGGCACACATAGCCATAATGGTTGCCTGAGTCAGTAGAAAACAAGTTACCCATGAACATGCATCATGTAAAAACACAAACCACCATTCGCACTGTAACCAAAAACATTATTGTTGAGCCATCAGCTGCATGGTTCAAGCCCATTCATTTTAGTTTATACCACAACTTTCCCCAGTCACACCTCACAACATCTCTTCTTGGAATCACAGAGCAGAGTTTGGCCTTTCGCCAGTGTAACAGTACAACAATCACTAAGCATCACTTTTTTATAAGAACGGTCTCTGATATTTCTGGATGTGATATTGACACAAGGCGTGACAAATCTAAATAAGGATCAGTCACCGATAGACACCTGACAGAGTTACCGTGCAGCCACTGACCTTGTACTGAATCAGGGGGTGGTCTCCACAGAGGAACTCCAGACAGTGGCTGACTCTCAGCACGTACTGACCCCTCCATGCCTCCTCCTCGGGCCCGTGGGTGGTCAGCCACTTCCTCAGGGCCAGCTCCATCAGATCAATGGGGGTGCTGGACGATGCCACCTTCAGACTGGCTGAGTCCTGCAAGACAAGACAGGAAAACAGAGAAAGAGAGAGAGATTGATTCATGTGCCCCAAGCTCAAACTGGAAGCAGATAACTCATCACAAAACAGTTTTTTTGGTCAAATCAGGACTATAGGCTTATATAAAATAGTGAGGAGGAATGTTAAGATAGCAGTAAGATAATGAAACATGATCACCAATTTTTAGGTACAGACATACAGTACATAATTGTTCATAAATAGAGTTATGTCTAGATGAGATAAATAGAGAAAACCAAAGAGAGAATAAGAGACTGATGGACATAAACAGGGCTTAACATAACACACAGACACAAATGCTCAATTGGACATGTGTGTTCGCGGCTGAATTAACTGCTGCGACAGACTGTGCACT